GGCCAAGCTATCAAGTGCAGAGCTAGAATCCCAACCAGGATCTGTCTGCCCCAGAGGTAGTCTCTTCCCTAAGAAGATAGTGCCTTCTATGGGTGTTTCCTGAGCCCAGGCTGGTGCCAAGCACAGATGAATCAGAGCTGGTTTCTGTGCTCAAGGGACTGTCTTAATCTGGGGACTCAGAGGTCCACCTCTGTACAGTGGCCATGGGGAGGAGCCCTTAACTGGAGGGGTCAGAAAGGCTTGTCATGAAGCAGTGCCCAGACTGCTAAATACATCACCAGGTAATCCCTGGGCCCGGTAAGAGTGTAACACCTAGTAATCCCTCAAATTTTGAAATAAACTGAACAGGTGAATGAAGAAGGAAGAGGATTCCAGGCAGAGAACACTGGACGTGGCAACTGCTCAGAGGAGAGGCAGTCTTCAAGTTCTGCATTCATTCAGCAAATGTTTCTTGAGCCTACAATACTGAGCGCACCAAGGCTGTGAAGACCCATGGTGAGGAGCATGAAGTTAACTAAAGGATGTGTCAGAGAAAGACTTCTCAAGGAGATGCCTCCATGAGACCCGAAGGACTCATGGGTGCTAGTTGCACCTCCCATTTCTTGGACATATACCGTTGGACATGTCTATCTTCTGGAAACTATGGCATGGACAGTAAGGATTCAGAGGTGCATGAAGGCACCCTGCCTCTGCAGAGCAGAAAGATCACAGACAACATTTATGAATGTACCCAGTGTTGCCAAGAAGAGAAGCTGGTCCTCTGCAGGTTCAAGCCTATCTGGGCCTCTGGGGAAGCCCCACAACCTTGGCTGTGCCTGCGCCTGCCCTCCCACCCCTGCCCTGACCCTGTCCTGCTTTGCTGCCTTTGTCCGTGTTACTAGTGGCCCCAGTATACCTGGGATGGACATCTAGGTGCCCTTCATCCAAGCTCCCACGTGAGGGGAGTGGACATGATTAAAAGAACAGGGGCAGAAGGGGCTCATTTATGACCCATTCCCTAGCCCCAGGGATTGAAGTCTTGGGTACTCAAAGTTTCTTTCTACCAGGGCACCAGATCCCTTCCATGGAGCAGGCCATCTCGGGTTCACTGGGCCAGGGCTGGTCTCTGTTCCCCAGCCCACCTGGCTCACACACAGCCTCGTGGGTAGGGTCAGCAAACCAGATTGCTTGATATTGGAATGTAGGATGAGAGGTCTGCTTGGTGATCTAGCATTTTCACCAAGAAATGGATGTGGAGAGGACCAGAGTGATCAAGGGTGTGTGATGTGCACTACAATGGTGGGCAAAACAGGCTCCTGCTCTTGTGGAGATCACAATCTAGTGGAGGAGGGGTGTTACTAGAAGTGCACAAAGTGGGCCCGGCATGGTGGCTCACGCCTGTAATCCCAGCACTTTTGGAGGTCGAGGCAGGCGGATCACTTGAGGTTAGAGTTTCGAGACCAGCCTGGCCAAAATGGTGAGACCCCGTCTCTATGAAATACAAAAATTAGCCTGGCATATGGTGGGTGCCTGTAATCCTAGCTACTCGGGAGGCTGATGGGAGAATCACTTGAACTCGGGAGACGGAGGTTGCAGTGAGCTGAGATCTTGCCATTGCACTCCAGCCTGGGTGACTGAGCAAGATTCTATCTCAAAACAAACAAAACAAAACAAAAAGATCTGTGAACTCTTTAGTAGATTTTGAATCCTGCCTCTGCCATTTCCTGGCTATGAGGTATCTTGGGAAATTTACTTGTCACTCTTGCTTCTGATAGCAAAGGGGATGGTGAGATAGATTCAAGATGGAGAGATAAGGTTGAAAGTGTTTTCTTTGGCTGCAATGTGGAGATAAGATTAGAGCGAGGCTGTAAGGGCTGAAGGGACATAGCAGTATTTCAGGTGAGAGTCAAGGTGGCTTTGGCCAGGGTGTGAGAGTGGAGGTAGGGAGAAGTAGGAAAGTGATAGTTAACTGGATTTGGTAGATGAGGGCGAGGTCAAGGGTGACTTCCAGGTTCCTGGCTTGTGTTATAAGTAACACAGAAGAAGAATGGATGAACTTCATTTGTTTTCCATTGATTGTGATATCTACCATAACCTGCAAGAAATATTTTGTATATCTCCAATTTAATAATAAAATGCACTCATGTTAGGAAGGTCAAAAAAAAAAAAAAAAAAGGAAAAAAAATAATAAAAATATTTAGTTACCCCTAAGATCAGGCCTGTAATCCCAGCACTTTGGGATGCCAAGGCAGAAGATAACTTGAGGCCAGGAGTTTGAGACCAGCAAGACCTTGTCTCTATAAAAAATAAAATAAGAAAAAGAAGGAAAAATAATCTAGTACATTTAAAAACTTTGAACTCCCCATCCTTCTTTGCAGAGGTAACCACTATACTGAATTTTGATTAATCTCGCCTTAGCTATTTATTGTTTTCACCACATAATGTATCTGTTCTTAAATATAGTGATTGGTTTTATATGGTTTTGAACTTACCTTTATTCTGTTTAGGATTCATTGAACTTTTTGAATCTAAATGTTTGGTAGTCCATAAAATTTGGAAAAATTTTGGGCATTGTTTTGTCAAATTTTGGGGTTCTCCTACACCTTCTATTTCTGACGTACAGTCTGCCTGTATGATGGAGCACTTGATATTGTCCCTCAGGTCACTGATGCCCTGTTTATTTCTTTCAGTTCTCTTTTCTTTTCTTTTTTTTTTTTTTTTTGAGACTGAGTCTTGCTCTGTTGCCCAGGCTGGAGTACAATGGCTCGATCTCGGCTCACCATGACCTCCACCCCCCGGTTCAAGTGATTCTTGTGCCTCAGCCTCCCGAGTAGCTGGGATTACAGGTGTGTGCCACCACACCCAGTTAATTTTGTATTTGTAGTAGAGACTGTGTTTCTCCACGTTGGTCAGGCTGGTCTTGAACTCCTGACCTCAGGTGATTTGCCCTCCTCTGCCTCCCAAAGTGCTGGGACTACAGGTGTGAGCCACCACACCTGGGGGTTTTATATAATGTGAAATCCTTGGTGGATTGTTATATAAGGGTTGTAGTGAAATTTGAAGAAATGTTTGGTGTTTTTGAATGGGTTGGAAATATGTTACTATTTTTCATATTAAGGTTAATGAAATAAAAACTTTAAAAATTCATGATTTAGCAGATTAGATCTGGATATTGAGGAACAGCTGTATGATCTTTTCTTTTTATAATTGTGCTTCATGTAAGACTCTAGTGCATTCTCAGATTTCTCTGGTCCCTCACCCCCCCGCCCCCACCCTGGTGTGTTAACAATGTAGAGAAGTTTTGTTTGGGGTTGTTATGGATTCTTTATATTGACCTTAGTAATAACATGGATGAAATCTTAAAGATATGTGTTGAAAACAAGGGAGTTTCAGAAGACTATATATAGCTCAGTATAATATTTATGAAGCTCAAAATAAAAAAACCTACAAATTATCTTTGAATACATGCATTTTTGATAAACGTATCAAAGGGATTTATATATACAAAAATCAGGGTAGTCATCAATTCTAGAATATAGAAGGATGGGTAGGGGAGCTCACCAGACTTGGCACACAACCAGGGCATTGCAGTTTTCTGAAAGGAGCCATAGTCAAGGACTTGGCATCCCCACCGTAAGGCAGATTCACTGTGCACTGGTTATCAGCTTGTCTGAGCCCAGTGAGATCCAATGACACCCATACACACAACAAGTTAAATAAAATAGGTTTATTACTAACAGGCAGCAAAGGACAACAATCTAGGATTCATTGGGAGTTAGTCCCCGAAGGTTCAGGAAAGCTGCCCGGGGGGATGGAGTCTTAACTGCATGTGCCCCACTTGTACCACAGCTGAAGGGCCCCAGAAAGCAGCCAGCCCAGAGTTTTATACCCTGGGTTTATGTGGGTCGTTGAAGGACGATGGTGCTTCCGTGCAGAGGCCTCCTTATTTGGGGTCTTGGCTAAGGCTGTCTCTCCTATCTGTTCTGTAGCAGTCAGTAAATAAGGCTTGATCATTCCTTTCCGTCTGGCTCATTGTTCCGACTGGCCATCTCAACACCTGATTGCATGACACTGATTGCATGACACTGGGTGATGAGCTCTTACAGGTGCTCATTTTTTTCTACTTATAACTTAAATATCTTATTCAATATATTTCATATATAATATTACACAATATCTTTTTTTTCTTTTTTTTTGAGACAAGGTCTCACTATGTCACCCACGCTAGAGTACAGTGGTGCAGTGGTGTGAATACAGCTCACTGCAACTCCAACTACTGAGCTCGTGATCCTCCCATCTCAGCCTCCCAAGTAGCTGGGACTATAGGTGCACACCACCACACCCAGCTAATTTTTGTATATATATATATATTTTTTTTTTTTTTTTTGTAGAGGCAGAGTTTCACCATATTGCCCAGGCTAGTCTAGAACTCCCCAGGCTCAAGCAATCTGCCCATCTTGGCCTCTCAAAGTACTGGGATTACAGGCGTGAGCCACATCTGACCCAGGTTGAACTTCTAAATAGGCTAAGTACTCATCTAAGTCCATTTAACCTGAGACCACTTTACACTGGACGTGACTGAGCATTCCCTCCTTTTCAACACAAGAATGAAACTCCAAAGAAACATAGACTCAGCTACAGACAAAAAAGAAAAATGTTCCATATTCTTTACCCTCTGAGTTATATACATATCAATCTCAATCATCTACACAGATACATTTTTACAAGTACACATACAGGTAAATGCAGAGTAAGATCTAGAGGGATTCACAGCATGCTGATAAAAGCAGTTACCCTGAGAGAGGGCAATGAATGAAGAGTGCTTCCAGTTTCAAGTTGAAAGTCATCCAGTTTTTATATGAAAACCCAGATACCTATTTTCTCTGTATGTTTTAGAAAACTTATGAATATTAAGCACCTACTAGCTACTGGCATAGGGAAATAGGGGAGCTTGTTCAAGGGAAACAAACTCAGTAGGGAGAATCTTTTAGCTGTACACATTTCCTCATGGGCTGAAGGGTTCATAATCCTGGGTGAACGTTGTGGACCTTTGCATGCTGCTTTAGGTGATCAGATCTTGCAAAATTCTTGTTGCATATTGAACACAGGTAGGGCCGTTCCCCAGTGTGCCTTTTCTTGTGTCTGTTGAGCTCATCTGAGCGGGTGAATTTCCACGTACATCCCTCTACATTGCATATGTAGGGCTTCTCCCCTGGACCAGACAGAGAGAGAGAGAGAGAGAGAGACCCGTCATATATCAGGGTGAGGTAGGGCAGGGACATTGAAAGTGAACAAGAAAAAGTTTTTGAGCAAGTTAGAGTGGGAGAGGGAGAGCCAAAGGAGATGGAGGTCGGGGAGGTGAGTGAAGGAGGGGAATGAGGGCCACAAAAGCTGGAAAGACAAGAGGAAAACTGTGAAGAAGGGAACAAAAGGAAAGGAAGAAGAAAAAAAAAAACAGGAGGAGAGACAGACAGTTATTGGCAGGCAAGTTAGTGGGGGGAATAAGGAGGATGAGGGAAGTGGGGCCTAGGGGCACTGTCACTATGAAGTGACGATCCCAGTAGAAATAGCGTCAAGAACATCTACCTGCAAGAGGCCAAAGAAATCCCTTCACTTCTTCCCATCAAACCAGCAGTCAATATCACTAAAGGCTATAGCCAGCCTGGCTCTGGTCCAAGACTAGAGCCTGTCCCTAGGACTGCTTTATCCCCGCTTCTGAAGGTGCCAACCTTTTCTATTATAGAATCTTCTTGAATTCTTGGCTTAAAGGAAGTGGCAGCAATCTCAAATGCTCCCAAGGCTTTGTAAAGGCACAAATACAGATTTGCCCCTCACCCCGTTCCCAGGCCCTCACTCACCAGTGTGCTTGCGCATATGGGTTCGGAGGTGGCAAGCCTTTTTATAAGAATTCTTGCAGTTCTCGTAAGTGCAGATGTAGGGCCTCGAAACCTCAGGATTCTTCCAGAACTGGCAGCTCTGTGTCTTCTGCTTTTCTAGAACTTGTCCTTGAATCAAATGGGAACTTGAAAAGCATGGGAATCCTGGGTGTGGCAATGATGAGAACTGATGGGATATCATATATCCCCCATAAAGGCTGTGGTCATTAGTGAGCATTGTCATATTGCCCACCTGAAGAGTCAGCATCTGGTCCCCATAGAGGGTCGGGTTGCCACTATATGTTGCCATCTGGCCTCCACAGAGAGCCTGGTTATCAATGGAGGTCATATTCTGCCCCCCATAGAGGGTCTGATTACCAGTGGAGGTCGTCACCTGCTCCCCACAGAGGGTCTGGTTACTAGTGGAGGTCGTCATCTGCTCCCCACAGAGAGTCTGGTTACCAGTGGAGGTCATCATCTGCTCCCCACAGAGGGTCTGGTTACTAGTGGAGGTCGTCAACGTCACACTGCTCCCCATAGAGGGTCTGGTTGCAGTGGGGGGTCATCATCTGTCCCCGTAAGGAACCTGGTTACCAGTGGAGGTGGTCATCTGCTCTCACAGAGTCTGGTTACCAGTGGAGGTCGTTATCTGCTCCCCATAGAGGTCTGAATTTACCAGTGGAGGTCGTCATCTGCTCCCATGGAGGTCTGGTTGCACTAGTGGAGTCGTCGCCTGCTCCCCTTGAAGGTCTAGTTACCGATGGAGATTCGTCATCTGCTCTCCATAGAGGGTCTGGTTACTGGTGGAGGTCATCATCTGTCCCCGTGCAAAGAGGCGCGGTTACCAGTGGGTCGTCATCTGCTCTCCTGGAGGTCTGGTTGCAGTGGAGGTCGTTATCTGCTCTCCACGGAGGGTCTGATTTACCAGTGGAGGTCGTCATCTGCTCTCACAGAGGTCTGATTACTAGTGGAGGTCGTCATCTGCTCCGTAGAGTCCTGGTTACTAGTGGAGGTCATCATCTGCTCCTGTAAGTCTGGTTACTAGTGAAGTCATCATGCTCCCGTGGGAGTCTGGTTACTGAAGTGGAGGTCGTCATCTGCTCCCATAGAGGGTCTGGTTGCAGTGGGGGTCGTCATCTGCTCCCCATAGAGTCTAGTTACTAGGTAGAGTCATCTGGTCTGTCCCGTAAAGACCTGATTTACCAGTGGAGGTCGTCATCTGCTCTCCACGGAAGGTCTGGTTACTGGTGGAAGTCGTCATCTGCTCTCACGGAGGTCTGGTTGTTACCAGTGGAAGTCGTCATCTGCTCTCCTGGAGGTCACAGTTGCCAGTGGAGGTGATCATCTGCCCCCGTGGAGGTCTGAATGATTGCACCAGTGGAAGTCGTCATCTGCTCCCGTGGGGTCTGGTTACCAGTGGAGGTCGTCATCTGCTCCGTGGGGTCTGGTTTACTAGTGGAGGTCGTCATCTGCTCCCGTGGGGGTCTGGTTACTAGTGAAGTCAAATCATCTGCTCCCGTGGGAGTCTGGTAACCTAGTGGAAGTCGTCATCTGCTCCCATTAAGAGGTCTAGTTACTAGTGGAGGTGTCATCTGCTCCCGTGGGGTCTGGTTACTAGTGGAAATTCGTCATCTGTTTGTTCCCCGTGGAGGTCTGAAAGTTGCTAGTGGAGAGTCGTCATCTGCTGTTACTAGTGGAGGTCGTCATCTGCTCCCCGTAGAGGGTCTGGTTACCAGTGGAGGTTGTCGCCTGCTCCCCATGGAGAGTCTGGTTATCAGTGGAAGACATCATTTGCCCTCCATAGAGGTCTAGACTGCTTGTCATCTGGCCCCCAGAGAGGTCCTCATAGCCACTGGAAGTCACTGTATGACCATCAGTGAGGGTCTGGTCACTACTGAAGGTCACCTGGTCCCCACAGAGAGTCTGGTTATCACTGAGGGTCTTCATCTGATCTCCATGCAGGGTTGGTATCTGACTCTCATTGAGGGTCTGGTCACTACTTGGAGTGTTCAACTGGTTACTTTCACTGGACATTGTCATGTTGCTTGCAGTGATGGCTGTCTTCTGGCAATCAGTGGGTGATGACTTTGGGGTGTCAGTAACATCTGTCATCTGGGAGCCTGCTGTGTGTTTTATCTGATCAAAGGAAGCCACTTTCTGGCCCATGGAATAAGTCTTATTTAGGTCTTCAAGGGCCATATCAAGGGCTTTAAGAGGGTGCATTGTTAAGTCCTGGGTGAGAACTGTCCCAGGGATGTTAGTGCATGCAGAAGTCATCATTGTGGGCCCCAAGGGAGGCATCGTCTTGCTCCGGGTTGACTCATGTTGGCTCTCCTCAACATGGGCAGTCAGAGGCATACAGTTCTGTGGTTCTGGTGCATCTGGGGTTTCTGCCTGTTTTGTATGTCGCTCAGAGAGATGCTGGAAAAAATTCTCAATTTCCTCAATTGCCTGGAGGAGACTGGAATCCATCTCTTTGCTGTTGCCTGATGACTAACTGAATCTTTAGTTATGGGATCCTGCAAAAAAGTTAATAGGTCAGGGGTTCATCCCAGCTCAAATTCCAATCCCCACGTGCCCTCCTTCTCCATCCCTGTTGAGCCCACCATTATCTCTTGCCTAGAAGCCTGTAGTTGCCTCTCAACTGACTCTGGAGTTAACTTCATCCAGTGTACCCTCCACACACAGAGTAACATTTCAAAAGTGAAAATATTTCTCAAATGCAAACTTTTACTAAGCCACTCCTATCTACCAATGGAGGCAAGAATCTAGATGGATGCTGTGAATGTCCCATTATCCTCTGAAGAGATCTGACCCCAGAGACTTTTCCAAAGTCTCCTCTCCAGACATCTTACCGGAGATTCAGCTGATTAAACTTTCAAATTATCTCATTTCATTTCCACCATGACCCCAGAAAATAAGGGTCATAATTAATCTCATTTTAAAGAAAATAGAAGTCCAGGGAGGTGAATTGGCTTGGCCCAGGTGGAAGACTCTTAACTTGTACTGGACCTATCTGGCTCTGGGTCCTTACAGTCCCCTAGATAAATGGGGACATTTCTCCCAGAGATCTCCCTGGGGGCACCCACTGATTCTGGCCTCCTGAGAACCATCCTGGAAACCACCAGCTTCTAGGAACCATTCTACTATGGACTGAATGTGTTTCTCCAAATTTTGTATGTTAAAACTGAATTTCCAATGTGATTGTATTAGAAGGTAGGGCCTTTGGGAGATGATTAGGTCATGGAGACAGAGCCTTCAAGAATGAGATGAGTGTTCTTCTAAGGGGCTGAGTTCTTTACTTCTGCCAAGTGAGGACCCAGCTAAAAGGTGCCATCTATAAATCAGAAAGCATGCCCTTACCAGACACCAAATCTACCAGCTCCTGGACAGAACAGACTAAGACACATTCCAAGGAGCAGTTTCTTTAGAGACAGAGGCGTAACTGTGCATATATTTCTGTTCAAAGTGGCCATCCATATGCTTCTAGGCTTCCTATGTCTCTGGTATGATGTGTATGTAACTATGTATGTATTTATTGTTTTCTCTGCCCCATATGATCTGCAAGAAAAGTGTCAAATTTATAACGAGCTCCCCAAAGCCACTATCTGGGTAGCCTCACATCTTTTTCATTCCCTGTGCCTCTTCCCTGCTTTTGTCCTACTCTGGCCAGATCAGTCCACTCAGTTTTGCCATGTTCCTATCCAATCCATTGCTCAGTCTGCCCTACCTAGCCAAGTTATCTTATCTAATACGTTCTCCTTTCCTATCTCTGCCATCAAAGCCTGGTCCCTCCTGCCTTGTCCTGACTCTCAGAATAGAGAAATACCATAATTCTCCCAGGCTGTATTCAAAATGTGTGACAGGACTGCCATTAAATATGGTGGACTGAGGAGACCCTGAAGTCCTTCCCTTCTATACCAAATCATAAAAATGATAGACGGCTTTAAATATGTACATATATATAATGTATATATATTATATAAATATTTATATTTATTTATATATATGTTTTTTATATTTTTTATTTTATTTATTATTTATTTTATTTTATAATTATATATATTTTTATATATTTATAATATTTATATATAATACATATAAATTATAATATATAAAAATATTATATATAAAAACATAAATATAATATATAATATACAATGTTTAATATTATATATAAATATATATTATATATACTTAAAGAAAAAATTTTCTATAAGTATTATACATACTTAAAAAAATTTAAAAACCGCAAAGAATATATATATATTATATATCTATTTATGGTTGGAAATAAGTGGAATTTCCCAAGAACTAGGAGGTACCCTTAAAAGAAGGGAGATAATTAAAGCCATAGTGGAAGCAGAAGCCACTTTCACTTGGAGGTCTAGGCTGATGCCACTTCCTATGGTGACACCCTACCAAGAGGAGCTCTCAAAACCTAGGAATTATTTTTATTTTTATTTTCAGAGTTGGATTCTCTCCAAGTTGCCCCGGCTGGATTTGAACTACTAGGCTCAAGCGATCTTCCTGTCTCAGACTCCCTAGTAGGTGGGACTAGAGGTGCTTGCCACCACATCCACCTCTAAATCCATAATAGAAATCCATAATAGAAGTAAAACTGGAAGTCTAGGCATGGTGGCTCACATCTGTAATCCCAGCACTTTGGGAGGCCAAGGCGGGTGGATCACGAGGCCAGGAGTTCAAGACCAGTCTGGCCAAGATGGTGAAACCCTGAACCTACTAAAAATACAAAAATTAGCTGGTGGTGGGCACCTGTAATCTCAGCTACTTGGGAGGCTGAGGCAGGAGAATCACTTGAACCTGGGAGGTGGACTCCAGCCTGGGTGACAGAGTGAGACTCCATCTCAAAAAAAAAAAGAAGAAGAAGAAGAAGTAAAACTGGAAAATTCACAAATTTGTGGAAATGAAAGAACATACTCTTAAACAAACAATGGATCAAAGAAGAAATCACAAGGGAAGTTATAAAATGCTTAGAGATGAATGAAAATAAAAACACAATAGACCAAAATTTATGGGATGTAGCAAAAGCAATGCCAGAACAGAAATTTTAGACTAACCTGGGCAACACAGTGAGATCCTGCCTCTGCAATTTTTTTTTTTTTTAATTAGTTGAGTGTGGTGGCACATACCTGTAGTCCCAGCTGCTTGGGAGGATGAGGCAGGAGGATCACTTGAGCCCAGGAGATGGAGGCTACAGTGAGCTGTTATTGTGCCACTGCACTCCAGCCTGGGTGACAAAGCAAAACCCCATCTGTAAAAAAACAAAACAAAAAAGAACACAGCAGAGATAAATGAAATGGAAAATTTTTTAAATTTTTAAAAATAGAGAAAAATTAATGAAACAAAAAATCGATCTTTGAAAAGATCAGCAAAATTGACAAACCTTTAAGCTAGGTGGACTAAGAAAAAGAGACTCAAATTACTAAAATCAGAAAGAAAAGTGGGGACATTACTACTGCTTCTACAGCAATAGAAAGAATTTTAAGACAGTACTATGAACAGTTTGTACACCAACAAATTGGATAACCTAGGTAAAATGAAGAAATTCATAGAAACACAAAACCTACCAAGACTGAATCATCATGAGGAAAGAAAATCTGAACAGACCTATAACTAACGAGATTGAATCAGTAATCATTATCTCCTAACAAAAAAAAAAAGCTGTGGACCTGATAGTTTCACTGGTCAATTCTACCAAATTTCAAAGAACTAATATCAATCCTTCAAACTTTGACAAAATATTGAAGAGGAGAGAATACTTCCTAACTTACTCTATGAGCCGAGCAAATACCCAGTGTCAAAGCCAGAAATGATGCTGCAAGAAAAGAAAACTACAAACTCATATCCCTTAAGAACATTGATGCAAAAATCCCAAGAAAATACTAGTAATCCCAATTCAGCAGCATATTACAAGGATTATACAACAAGACCAAGTGGGATTTATTCCCAGAATGCAAGGATGGTTCAACATATGAAAATCTATTTTCAATATATTTATTGAAAAAATATAGCTATAAGTATATATGCAGTTCAAACCTATGTTGTTCAAGGGCCAAATGTATACACAAACAATGGAATATACAACTGAATATCCAGCCTTAAAATGGAAGGATATTCTGACACATGCTACAACATGGATAAACTCTGAGGATATTATGCTAAGTGAAATAATCCAGCCACAAAAAAGTGACTCGCATAAAAAAAATCATGTGATTCCACTTATATGAAGTATCTAAGAGTAATCAAAATGAGAGGCAGACAGATGGTTGGGGGGGAAGGGGGGAGGGGGAGTGAAGAGTTAACTGTAACTGGTACAGAGTTTCACTTTTATAAGATGAAAGAGTTCTGGAGATGGACGGTGGTGATGATTGCACAATATTACGACTGTATCTAAATACTGCCACTGATCTGTAAACTTAAAAATGAGTAAGATGGTAATTTTATGTTATATACATTTGAAGATCATACAAATAACTGAGAAAAATTAAAAAAAAAATTCCAAGCAGGAAATCTTTGAAATGATATCCTCTGAGATTAAAATCAATCTCTAGCTATCACAGCACCTCTAGCTCTAGGTACTCAGAGGCTGTGGGGTGAGGTTCCCTTGAGCCCAGCAGTTTGAAGCCAGCTTGGGCAATATAGCAAGACCCCCTCCTCTCTAAAAAGTAAATACATAAAATTAAACTTTAAAAATCAACCTCTAATAGTTTCTTACTCTTACACTTAGTTTCCCACCATTCCTGCCCATGTAAAAGCTTAACTCCTGTCTACCCCATCTCCCCACTAGAGCTCCTCTGAGCAGAACTCTATTTCATCCTGAGCAAGGCCTGATGGATCCCACTGGGAACCTTAGAAAACAGGAACTCAGTGAAGGACTCATTCCCACTCCACCTGCTCTAGATCTGCTTCTGGTCCCTAAAGTTTCTGGCCCTTGGAAAAACAGATGGATTTCATCCCCAGTTAAAGGAATTATTAAAACCATAGTTCCGGCTGGGAGCGATAGCTCAGGTCTGTAATCCCAGCACTTTGGGAGGCCAAGGCAGGCAGATCATTTGAGGTCAGGAGTTTAAGACCAGCCTGGCCAAAATAGTGAAACTCTGTCCCTACTAAAAATACAAAAAAAAAAAAAAAAGAAAGAAAGAAAGAAAAAAAATTAGTCGGGCATGGTGGTGCACATCTGTAGTCCCAGCTACTTGGGAGGCTGAGGCACGAGAATTGCTTGAACCTGGGAGGCAGAGGTTGCAGTGTGCGGAGATCATGCACTCCAGCCTGGGCGACACAGCAAGACTCTGTCAAAAAAAAAAAAAAAAAAAAAAAAACCCATACCAAACCAAAACAAACAATAAACCCTGATAGTTCCATCCACGGGCTATGCCTCCTTCTCTTGATCTCTAATAATTCAACCCAACCCACCCAGGCCCCTCTGACTCATGGACCTAGCATTCCTTGTATACTTCCATGAGCCTTTGACCAGACCACGATCTCGTCCTGGGCTCCTGCCAACATGATAGCAAGACTTCGGGTGCTGTCGAGAC